ACAGGTTCAGGTGAAGTAAGTGTTTCTTCTTCGTGGGAGTAAATGGCCAAAGAGAAGGAGTTGCTGCTTGACTTTTCGCGCCCTTACGTGTAAGACATCCATTGGTCATTTGCTGACTGGATGGACACGTATGTGTATGTGTAATACACGCGCACATGGTCAATGGTCAAATGTGTTTATTAATTATGGAAAAAATGAGTTCGAGTGTTGAAATGGGAAAGTTATAAGTTTATGTATTGGCTTTAAAAAACCCGACAAGTTTAAGTGGCCAGGAAGCCATTTCGCCTTTATTTTTCAAATATGATTTCTTTTGCCATCCAGGGGTTCCTTTATTTGGATTCTGTCAGTTGTATTTCTCTAAGTTCTTTGGGCCTTGACCAACCGGTACTATTTCTTCATATGATTTATGAAGTTACTTTTGTATATTTTGTTTGTGGTTGTAAAAGGTCTGTGCTACTTATGTTGTTTTCAAACTGATGTCTGGACCTGGTTAGTCAATTCCTTCTTAGGCATAATATTTAACTGCACATGTGTTCTTAAAATTTCTTAATCGTTTCAACTCGCTACAGATTGATTTAATTAGCTTACACGTATACTTATTTTAACATCTTTGCTCTTTTAATTATATGCACAATTTTAATCATTTTATTTAGAAATAGTTTGATAAACTTGAATAGAAAAGAAAAATGTACAGTATGAATTATGGGGCAGTTAAATGTATTGGTACTTTTTCCTTATAACTTTGGTCAAGCACTTGAAATTTGCTGGTTCCATGTTTTTGAACGTTTGCCTTCTACACTTGGCAAATAATTTTTTCTTTGAGCCCATAAGTTTGGCAATTTACTTGGTTAATCATAGAGGAAAATTTACAGTCAACCACTGCAACTCTAAGATAACATACTCTAACTTGTAGTATACCACTTCTTCTCCGCAGTTATTCGCTTCTTTATCTACTGCCATTCTCTACTATAAATATGTTGTAACTGATGTCTTCGCATACGACTGTGTGTACTATGTTTTCTGTATGAAATTAGTATGTCTCATATACTGCTGTGCTTTAAATTGTTTATTTGACAATAAATAATATGCCATCAATTGGATTATACAAAAAAAGTGATTTGAGTAAATCTTCACTAATAGGGAAGTATGTCCTTAATCCTTTGTCATGTTTTCGAAAGTAGAAACTTGCCGGTTTCTACGCTTAAACAATTAAATAGTAGCATACATGTTTGAACAGTGTCAAATGTGCTAAATGTTAGGGTCATTGTATGTGTGAACAATTGAGTTGTTACTTCTTTGAAGTTGCTATATTCTGCTGTTCTGGTATGATGTATGTCTTCACAAGTTATTTTTGTTTCCACGAAGGAATAGAGATTATAGAACGTGTGAAGCAGGGAGTTCCAGCACTTTGAAATGTAGTGATTAAAAAATCCAAATCCAACTTTTACTAGAAATTCCTAACTGTTACAAAAAATTTCGAGTGTATTTTACGTATATTTGCTGCCTCATATTTGTAATGTGGGATGGTTTGTTCTTGCATTACAGTTATCAATATGCAAGTTATATTGATAAAATGGAAGAAAGACTTAGTATCAGTGAAATTACACCGCTTACTACAGAATGGACTTGCAAAGTCAAGGCTGTAGACAAATTTCGGTCGCGAGACAACAGAGATCAGCGAGTTCGTTTTCAGATAATAATTGTCCAGGATATAAACGTAAGTCAAGTTACAACTATAATTGTAACATAACATCTTCTCACTTGTACTCTTCCAATAATTACTGTGTTATCGTTCTTAATAACATTGTAGGAGGAACAAATTTGTGTGATACTCTATGGTGACGACATTAGATGATGTGATAACTTGTTCGAACTTTTTGAGACGTATCTGATTTCAACTGCCAAGGTTAGAAATCCGCAACCTTATTCATTGCATATCGGCCAGTTTGAATTGATCGTCGACAGATTCACTATTGTGGAGTCTATCCCAAAAAATAATGAAAAGGAGGCACATATTCACTATTTTTGTAATTTTAATAAATTTTTACATATAATTTTACTCCGCGTCAAAGTTATGGGTTCAGTTGAACCCGTTAGTTGTTCACTACATCCGCCTCTGCTCTTTATTCTTTGCTTAGAGTTATATGTTAATAGAGATATATGAAAAATCTCATCTTTAATTGGGATGGATTACTACTTTCGGGGGTTAGAATTTGTAACAGTCCAGTCTAGGCCCGTACGGTTTTAAAATGCGCCTTTAGAGTCTAAAGCATGTTTACTTATATACCCAGCATCTCTTCCGTATTTTATCGATATGGGATTGCCTACCCCTTGGGACTCAGTGTCCTCGTTGAGTATGAAACAACCCAGCCCACTAGTGCTATTGTCCGCTTTGGGTCTAGGCCCGTACAACTTTAGAACGCGTCTCTAGAGTCTAAGACATGTCTACTTGTATACCCAGCATCTCTCTCGTATTTTATCATTTTGTCGATGTGGGATTTGCCTAAGGTGTCACATCTCTGGGATTAGGATTATACAGTTATGGAAGCTGAGTGCAAGTTCTTCGAGTTGTGTTGTGAGCTATACAATGGAAGATTCTTAAGAAGGCAGAGAGGGCTACTCTCTATACAATATGAGTAGCAACAACAAAAAGAAAATAACATGACCACTGGTTGTTTATTCAATAAGCTCATATACAAAAAAGTTTTTTGGATTATCTAACTATGAAACTTGATATAATTGTGTATCTTATTATGATTTAATGTACTCTTGTGTGCGATTTTGATTAATTGTAACACCCCAAACTTCAGACAGAGTCTCATATCGGCAAAACATAAGAGTGGTGCTAGGTATATAAGTTAACAAGTCTTAGACCTCAGTAACGCGTTTTAAACCCCGAGGGCCTAGGCCCAGAGAAGACAATACAATATTACTAGGAGGTTGAGCTGTTACAAATGGTATCAGAGCCTTAGAGTTCAATCGGGTTTAGGCAAATCTCGGTTAGGCAGGGCAAAGACCATAAGAAAGGGTGTATGTAACACCCACATTTTATACAGAATACCACATCGGCAAAATACAAGAGAGATGCTGGGTATATATGTTAACAAGCCTTAGATCATATTGATGCGTTTTAAACTCGTGAAGACCTAATCCCAGAGAGGACAATATCATTAGCGGGCTGGGCTGTTACGTTAATATTTGTGACACTTGTGGCTTTGTTAAAAAGTTGCACTATTTTTGGAATTCAAACAAATAAATTTTTTTCTGATATTAAACCATAAGAAGTGGAGAAAGGATTCAACTTTTGAGTGTGTTACTTTAATCCGATTCTCTTTTCATTTGGATGGAGGTGTGGTGCCTATTTCTGCTACAAATGTGGAAGACGAGCTGGTTGGCACTGGTGTGATTATTGGGCAACTTTACTGTTTCCTTTAACTGTCCTACATCTCTTTTTCCTCTTTATTTGGGATGGCTGTCTCTATTGTATTAGATGGTTTACAAACTAGACTTGTGTACAGACATTTACTTTTATTACATTGAGGTTCAACGAGAAATATTAGAATATTTGCTCGGTGTGTGCAATTAAGGCAGAAAAAATAGCCGGCCGGCCATATGATGTGTTTATTTTTTTTAGTTATATACATAGATTATACATTGATTATACACATATAATTAATATTCAAATTATGCATATATCATACCTCTGCCCGCGGCTATTTTTAGTCTAAAAATTGGGTGGATGGCTATTTGGGTTAATTCTTCCAAAAATAACATAAACAAGGAAACAGAAGCTATTGGTACAGATGGAATTCATGAAGTATAGTTAAGTTCGCATAGATTATTGACTTACTAATTCAAGTTGTTTCAAAAGCCAGCTATGGTTTCCTGTTACTACATGTTTGCAGCTATTATTGCATCCCTTCAAACACATTTTTTGTGTGAATTTTCCTGAGAAACGTCAACATACACTACCAGCGATTACTTTATGCGGAATACAATGTGAAATGACATTACATGCATTAGCAATATCTAAATAACATCAAGTAAAGGGACAAAAGCCTTTTCAACTTGCTTAGCTAGCGTTTGAACATAAATTTGGTTGAAACTTAAAAAAAGAGTTTTTGAACCTGTATTGAAAAATAATTTTTGGAAGTTGAAGTTGTATTTGGATATGCATTTTATTTGAAAAAAACTTGAGTTTTGTGAATTGTAAGTGAAAGAAAAAAAATTCACCCAAAAACTGCCCTAAACCAGTTTTTGGGAACTTGAATTTTTGAAATTTTCCCCCCAAAATATGATCATATTTCATAAACATACAATGTTTTCAAAAATAAATTTGAAAAAATGAAGCCAAATCTATGACCAAACGGGAGCTTAATTAATTTACTATCTCATAAATTGTTATTTCTCTTATGTTTCTAGAAATGTTTCTGTTCTCCATTTTGAATTTACAAGAAACTTTTCGAAAGAAAAACTCTTCTCATTTGGAAGAGGAATTAATTAATTATGCTATTAAAATCAAACGTGTAGTTTATGTTATATGTATCCATTTATTAGGAGTAATATGATGAACCGAATATCTTTTACTAGAACAAATTTATTAATTGTTGTTTCCCTCTGAAGTAGTAACTAGTTTGCAAGCAATTGTGTGATAGTTATAGTTATCGTAACAGGATCAGTAGAGATTTATGGTTAAAGTGTCCTAGTTGAAGAACAATGAATATAACTAATCAAACGATAATTTTTTTAATCGAATTGCGATTTTTGCACGAAAAATGTGAACTTTCATTTCGTTAAATCATCAGACGCAGTGTGTACTCAGTCACTAAGAATAAGAGAATAGAAAAGTTTAATCAAGATTAAGTGATAAAAATTTACGTTAAAAGAATGAAACATATTACGTATACTGTCGTTGGTTTAGATTATATTGGATATCGGAAGCTTTTTTATTCTTTTGGATATGAGGAACTCTATAACTTGTACTATCAAGTAATAAATGTACTATATATGTGTGTTTTCAAATAATTAGACAACTTTACGAACTCCTTTATGGCACCTCGTTTTGATCTTTGGCTTAATGTTCCATGTTCAGATACTCCATACATTATAAAAGAAAATAAAAATGAAGAATGAGAAAACCAAATAACGAGAATCAAATCTCAGCGTGAAAGACTCCAAATACTATTAGACTAGAAGTCTCCATTGTTTCACATAATTTAAATTCCTATAATATTGGTTATAATAAAATACCAAATCCCGATTAAGAAGAAATAAAATTGTAGTCGTAATTCTTGCTTTTGGTATTTTAAAGCATAATAGTAGTCAAGTTACTATCGATTTTTATTATCAATGTATCTTAGTATAAACAATTTTTTTTTTTTGGTAATTAACTTTCACTTTTATCCAGTGGCGAAGCCAGGAATTTTCTCAAGGGTGTTCAAACTTGAAAGTAGTGAAAAACTTCTCCGACAAAGAGTGTTCAATATATGTTATATACCTAATATTTTACCTATATACTCAGTGTAATTTTCCGACGGAGGGTGGTCAGTTGACCACCCTTTGGCTTCGCCCTTGCTTTTATTAATCACCAAAGATGAAACTGTACAATTCCATAGTCAAGCTAACTCAGCTGACTATCTCAGATAAAAGAGCAAACTATCACATACCTAATTACATATATCACTATTGATCTACTCTTCCCAATAAGAAATTGTTGTATATAACTCTTAGCTCGAGCAGCTACTCTAATATTGCAAATATATGCTATCTCTCTTGCCAAAACATCACTGCCTCAATATCTTTGCTCAAATGTACGTGTGTTTCTTTCAATCTATATAGCATATGAGGTTTCAACATATTCTGAATATGCTAGCCTTGTTGGACTTCCCTTTTCCCTGCTTGATGATACACTAAAGATGTAGATCCCAGCATGAGCTTATCATTTGGTCTCTCTGAATCCATTTCATAACTTTGTTCCACAGTTCTGTTGCATATGAACATTGCACAAAGAGGTGCTCCCTTGTCTCAACCTGACCTGAGCACATTACACAGTGAGGAGTGACATTTATTCCCCAGTTGGCTAGTCTATCCTTAGTAGGTAGTCTTCCATGCAGTAGCAACCACATAGTGAATACTGCCTTTGGTCGAGCAGAATTCTGAAAGACTAGACATTTCCAGCTCACTCTTGGCAATTCTCCTATCAGCTGTAGATATATTTGTCTAATACTACTGGTATTGTGATCACTGGAGTTCTGTGCCTGCAGCATGGTAACTCTTGATCCAATTATTCTTCTCACCATCCAACTTGCTTGTTGTGGGATTGGCATATGCTGTAGCTGCTGCTGTTGGATGTAGTAGGCACTAATCCACCTTATCCATAACTTGTCCTGCTTGTGAGCTAAATCCCACCATGTTTTAGCAATTGCTGCTTTGTTCCACAGAGGGAGATTTATAAGATAAAGACCACCAACTGACTTAGGAGTACATANCCATTTATTATTTTATCAGATTTAAAGTTATATGTTTCTTTTGCTTTTTTCCTCATGCTCAATACTTTTTAATTCAATATTTATTCAAAGGAATAAGAATAGCATCAGAAAATAAAAACAAAGAGAAAGCAGAATTCCACTAGTTCAATACAAAATTTTATCACCAAATTTTCTTATGTTTTTCGTTTGGCAAAATACATAATCTACCCATCAAACTTAGGACCAAATCCCTCTTACACACCTGTTGAACACGGGTTTTATTTTACACACCAAACCTTTCAAAAGTGTGTCAATTACACACTACTTTTGACCAGCCCCTTTAATATTTAATGCGTTGTATACACGCGCTTTTATAAATTAAAAAAAAAACAACGATTCTTTATAATTAAAATAGATTATCCGACCCTTTTCTTAATTCCGACCCATGAAAGATCCAACCCGGTAAGTTAAAAACACCTACACGACCAAATTAACAAACATAAACCCATTTTCCAAGTCCTGTTCTTCATCCCTAAA